TATATATATATATATATATATATATATATATATATATATATATATAGTACGAAGAAGCAATGGAACATATATTGATTGACTAGCGGTACGAGTGTGGTAGTGGTAGCAATAGTCAAAGTGAAGTGATATGACTCAATTAAGTAGATCAACAAGGGAGGCCAATAGTATTTGTGCACAAGGATTTAGAAAGGAATTCTGGAATGAGGTTATCAACTAGAGCTTCTCAATTAGGTGGAACAATTAGCATTGGGTAGTCCAACCTGCAGGATTTATCATAGGACTTTGGCAATAAGGTAGCTCTTAATATGGTTGATCAAGATCCTACTACAGCCCACACAGACACCAAAATAAACACATTAGAAAGGCAATTGCACGGTGGCTCAACTTTCATCGAATTTCAATTACAGCCCAAAACCTTTACAACCAAAGCATGATTTTGTCCATCCAAAAGGCAGCTCCCAATATTCAAGCCCCTTACACCAAGAGAGATACACAACATGTATCTAGGTAAAGAGGTTCAAGAACTTTGAGATTGGATAAAATCTTTCAATACAGTGCAACCATTGTTTGTGACATCCGGTAAAATGAACATCATCAACTTCCATATATATTACAAGAGAAGGATAGTATTCTATAATTGTATTGATTCTCCCGATAAAATCCATGATGCCAACTACAATGAGGGGTTGATGGACACAATGGTTGCAAAGGTCGGACCAAAATTTGTTACAGTAAGTCCTGATAATAGTGGAGCAAACTTTAAGGTTGATCAGTAACTGATAGTCTTGAGTCTTGACAACATTTATTTTGAACAACAAGTACAGATCGCTGCATAGACCTGATGATAAAGGATATTTTGATAAGCCAACAGTTAAGATGATAATAAAAAAGGCACAAAGCATCACAAATTACATCAACGGCCATCATTGGGTGTAAGCTTCGATGTAAAATTCATATATGCAGAGCCCCTATGACCCAACATCACACGCTTTGCCACAAACTTCATCGTCTATTAAACAATGGAAGATTAGACTAATGACAGTGTTCACATCCATTGACTAAGGCAACTCCCAATATTCCAGTTCATCTATGGGAAAAAATGGACAAGTATATCCTTTTTTCCATATTCTGGATGCGGTTGTTGAGATATCTGTTGTGATTTGATTTGTTGAGATCTGATCTGCTATAATTTGATTCTCAACATGCTATCTTATTTGATGTGATAGACTAGGATATAATTGTTGATTCATTCCTAATTATATTATTTTATTTGTTTACATCAACAAGTTGTATATTTCCTAGATTAGCACCTAGATCTATTTAGGTAGTTCTTTCTTCTTTTTCCTTTTCTCTAGTTCGACTATATGTACTTCATCTTGTATACAAGCAACAATATAGAAAAATAAAATTCTCTTCTTCATGGTATCAGAGCAAAATTAGGTTTTGATTTTTCTTCTCTCTGCCCACAATGGTATATGATAGATTTGTTTCTTTATCTCAGCATTTATTGTCGAAAATCTTCTCTGGTGACTCCTCGTTTCTAGCCATGTCTGAAACTCTAAAGTTTGTTTTCAATATTCCAAAAACTATTCACTCAATATTCCCTTCAACTTGAAGGTCATACCCTCTAGATCTCTATCATTAGACTAAGCGAGAGAAATTTTATTAAGTGGTCTCAATCCATGAAGAGCTCTCTAATGAGTAAAGGAAAGTTCAAATATGTAAATGAGCTAAGAAGGCACTAGCCTCAAACGAAACTTGGGAGATCGATAATGCGATGGTCATGTGTGACTGCTTTATTCCATGTAGCCAAGAATCAGCAAGATGTACCTTCTTCCTATGGCTAGAGATATTTTGGGATGTTGTCAATAAAATCTACTCCAAAGTAGGTTTTAATTCTCTAATTTTCCAAATCAAAAGACAAATTCAAAAGATAAAGCAAGGTACATCAAGCATCGTAGATTATTACAATAATCTGAGGTATATTGGCTAAATTAGACCTATATCAAAATCTGGAGATGGAATCTGCTGTCGACACTGAAAGGCTGAGAAACTTGCTTGAGATTGAGAGGGTATTTCAATTCTTATTGGGGTTAATTCTGAATTTGATCAAGTATAAGATTGTGTTTTTAATAGAGAACCTTTTCATGATCTTAATGAAGTGTTTACCCTAGTTTGAAGTGCTTAAAGCTGATAGGAATTGCTAAGTATTAAAGAAGCAAATTATGGCAAGCCTATAGTGGAAAACTTTGCCTTGACAGGCTCAAAGATATCTCCCAACGCCAAAGACAACATGAAAGATAGCAGATGGTGTAATTACTGCAACAAACCAAAACACACCAAGGAGACATGCTAGAAACGACATGGTAAATCTCAAAACTGCAAAAACAATAAGTACAACAATAAGGTAGTTATAGGAATGCTGGTAGCCACAAAGATTCAAGTTGGCGAAAATCAGTGAGGCTTCGAGACACTTTTATAAAGTAAAGAACAGCTAGAACATCTAAATGGACTTCTTAGCTAATCACAAACCACCATAAATCCATCTCCTACATGTTCTCTTGCAAAGCAAGGTAATACTCCTACCCTCCACATTTCCTCTAATCAAGCACTTTGGATAGTTGATACGGGTGCTAGCGATCATATGATTAGTCGTTCTCACATGTTCCTATACTCCATGTCTTGGAAACCTTAAAGTTCATATTGCCGATATATCTTTGTCCAATTGCAAGAAAAGGTTATCTTGTTCTCTCAAAGAATCCAATTTTGAAATTTGTTCTGCATGTTCCTAACCTATCCTATAATCTCTTATCCATAAGCAAAATTATGTGGCAAAATTCTTTCTATCTCCTTGTGTGTTTCAAGATATGTGCTCAGGAAGGATGATTGGCAGTGCTAAAGAGAAGTTGATCAACTCTATTACTTTGAAGGTGATGCTTCCTTGGATAGACAAGCTCAAGCCATAGGCAGTTTTTCTTGCTTTTCTAATAAAGACAAAAAAAATATTATGGTACTATAGAGCAAGGTTTTTAATTTCAAATGATACCACCCGGTATGGGCGGCCAGCAAACCGATACGCAGACTGCCCACTATCGGGCGATACCGTCGATTAGAGCTGTTTCCGCCCCGTTAACACGTGAAATCAATCGGTGACGGTCAATTTCGACCGTCGCCGCCCACTACGAGGCAGTATTAACCGAGGGAGAAGGAAGAAGAAGGAGAAAAAGATGGAGAAGAAAAGGGAGAACCTGGAGATCTGGCATTGCTCTCCCTCGACGATCCCGATCCATCGCCGCCCTCCCTTGCCTGGTGTCGGAGATGAGATGTCGCCTCCTCATCTGAGGCGACGAGGCATCGGCATCGTCAGCGACTTCTCCTCATCCGCACAGGGAGAAGAAGCCTCGATGACGACATCGCCCCTTTATATATACATATATATACATATATATACATATATATATATCGAGCAGTACCAAACTGATCTCGATACTCCGGTATGATACAAAATTACGAACCTTGCTATAGAGTACAGAACAAGTCATCCTAGTTTCAAGAACTTCAACAAGTTGCTACTTTGCTTTAAGAATAAGAATCTCTCTCAATTTCACAGTGAAATATATTAACTAGTTAAACATCATCATTCCATATTCGCTTCGCAACCATATAAACACTCCCAACCCTTTAGCTTAATCCATAGTGACAATTGGGGGCCTTCAAAAGATAAAACACTACTAGAACTAATGGTTTATTGCCTCCATTGATGATCATGATCATAATAGAGTTTGTTAGGCATATAATGGAGAACTATCTATCTTTACAAAAGATTCTAGAAAAGTTTATTCTAGGCAAAGAAATCAATAAAAAGTCATCAATTAGTTAGCCTAGAAATTTTGAAGAGTTATGTTGAAAATTGAAGAGTCTTCTATTCTTTCTAGGTGCTAACCTAGAGACTCCTTTAGTATTAAGTGCGCTCATTTACTATTTGGCATGGTTCGCTTTACCGGCCGGTTCATATCGGTGTACCGAACAATTGTCGGTACGGTATGTATTGAGTTGTACTGAGCCTTATCGAGCGTACCGACACAAAGTACATGGGGCGTACCAATGTACCACCCGTACCGGTCCCCTATTGGATCAATACATATCACTCATACCGAGAGGTACGCTATGGTGCGACAAACCTTGTTATTTAGGTAACCTAGAAGTCACATTTTGAATTTCTAAAAGGCATACAAATTTCATAGGATATTACTTTCGAGAATCATTGTCTACATTAATTGTATCAAGGTTCCTAACCCCTATAAATAGTGGGGCTTATCAATGGATCAAACACTTCATATATGAATGAAAAAAATTACATCATCTCTAGTCTCTTACATCTCACACATCATTTTCTTTCTCTTCCCCCCCCCCCCCCTTTCCTCTCTACGTTCCGACTCTGTTCTACATCAATTTGGTTTCAGTGCTAGGTGAAGAAACCAGCCCTGTACCTCATTGGGCCCCAACTAGCAACTTCTATCAACAGTGGCATCACTCAAATCCTTGCACCTCCAACATCAATCCTTTGCGTGTGGAGTTCGACTTTGAAGCGGCTATCCCTACAAAATTGGTGGACCACCTGGCTCTTGGTGCCTAGTAATTTTTGAAAACTTCTTTAATATTTTTGTCGAAAACAACAACCGTATATTTCATTATATCCTAACTTTTATCGCTCCCCCCCCCCCCCTCCCTTCTCTTCTCCTTTTTTT